TAAATACAACATGCTGGTCCTTACCTAAACAGTTTGCGTCCAGGCTATTTGTCCAATCGCATCTCCCCATATAGGTCATTTAAGATCATCGAGGGAGACCCTGCTCTCAGTCCCACCCCCTTCTCAAGCTCGGCTGGTGGGAATAAGAGAAGGGGGCCTTTCCCATGATAACTCCCCATCTCTGGAACTCCCTCCCTAAAGAAATAAAAATGCCCTCTACCCTCCTCTCCTTGAAGAAACTTTTGAAAACACACTCATGCTCTTCAGCATGTGGAGAGGAGGAGAACTAAGATACTACGCCACCAGAACACTGGCGAGCCCATTTGCACTAAATTTATTTATTTATTATTTCCAACATTTCTACCCCGTCCTTCTCAACCCCCGAAGAGGGACTCAGGGTGGTTTACAACAGCAGTAATTCAATGCCAACAACATACAAACACAATTACAACAGCATTATACAAGAGAAAAAGCATTAAGAGTAAAATACATTAAAATACATTGGATTAAAAAATGTTAAAATGTTATTATTCATCATATAGCCGAGTCTAAATCTGATTTAGCAGCCGACAACTCCGCCCAAGCCTGTCATTGTCAGAGTTTAAGCATTGTGAATACTGCCAAACCTACTGTCCAACGTCCTGGTCCCAAAACCATGTTTTCAGCTTTTTCTAAAAGAGAGGAGGGATGAAACTGACCTAATTTCATTAGGAAGAGCATTCCACAAGAAGAGGGCCACCACCAAGAAGACCCTGTCCCTCTTTCCCACAAACGTGCTTGCAAAGGGGGCAGGACCGAGAGAAGGGCCTCCCTCAACTATCTTAAATTCCAAGAGGGAGATATGATGGCTATGATACATTTTTAGCAAACATCTGTGTTAGCCATCTTAAATGCAATTAATTTCTAACTGCTTTTAATGATATATGTTTTATGTGTACTCATGTCCTAGTTTATTGTCTAACTGGTTTACTGCTACCTAGTCCCCATTTAATTTTTTAATTTTTATCATAAGTTTACTGTTATTATTGTGCATTATTTTGTATTACTACGGATGTTGTTTGTATTTTTAAGGCATTGAATGTTTGCCTATCTCTGTATGTAAACCACCCTGAGTCCCTTTGGGGTAGAAAATTATTATTATTATTATTATTATTATTATTATTATTATTATTATT